GCCGAAGCGATGGAAGGCGGCTAAAAGTTAATAGCTGTCCCCTCAAGACGTGTCTACCTCGTGGCCGCAGGGACAGACGTCAGGGCGGCTGGTGTACCTTTATCCAATGAGTTTCTCCCCTCGTGGATCGGGTCAGCTACAAGGGCTCGATTCTCAGCCCCGACCAAGGAAGGTCGGGCCTTAAAAAAAGCTAAAGGCCTAAGAGAATGTATGTCCTCTACAACTTCCTTACCAGGTGACAGTTGTTACCAACCCCACCGCCTTCTGAGATTGGTTCTAAGAAAGTGGGCCCAACACAGGCGCTTCACGCCGACTTTCTGACATCGCCGTCCCCATCATCCCCAGAGAGCAAAGGTAGGGTGTCACGCGGTATCCGCAGGGAACACGGATGACCAGAGGACCATTGACTGGCCAGAAAACTTGGGCGGTAAACACTCTGGCCAGGAAAAAGGTCATGGGGATTCCAGCGGAGGTGCTGCTTGGCTAAGCCAGATTTCTTGGAGACGACACTCCAAGAAAAGGAAGAAGAGGTTTCCGGCAATGAGTGCGGACTGCCAGCTACCAGATTATCCGAGGGGGGGGAAGCCTCGATCCAAGCCAAAGAAATTGGGTAGAACAGGTTATCTAATTCAATCCACACACAAGGTGGAATACATTTAGGGTCTAGAACCTCCACCAAGAGCAGGACGGAGCCTAGCGGAAGTGTTTCCAGAGATTTCCACCGAATCGAGATCAAATTTCCAAAAGATTCATCTATTCTCCCAAAGGTTGTAGGAGACCAAGCATGGAGTGGCACATGAAGAAGCTTAAGCCATACCTTTTTCCTTCTGAAAGAACCTTCCAGGGGGGACCAAGCATGAAGGCATTGGGTTGCCCCTTTGAAAATCGCAGATTTGGGATCCTGCAATACCTGGCAGGCGAGAGCTTGCGACGAAAAGGTGAAGAGGTAGCCTCCACAGGAGAGGCGTCGAGCCGTTAAATTGGAATCCTCCCAAAAAAAATTTGCCCAGATCTCAACTCCTCTGAAATCATCTCGAGACGGGCGAAACATGCCTACTAAAGATGACAGGAACTTAGTCTTAAGCAAGGAAGACTCGACAAGTGCGATGGAGATGAAGAAAGGACCGAGCGGGAGCCATCGAGGTTGGGGGGAGTGCAACTACTTGCGCAAAGGACCCAAAATCGTTAGTCGGTAACCCGTTTTGTGAAGAGCCACAGGTAGAGGACTGCGCTTCCTTAGTAGATGCCTTGTGTGGGACACAGAGAGGTTTAGGGTACAGGTCGTAAATCTTACTCCAGAAAGAAAGAGAGGTCAGGGGCCAAGTAGAGAGGTGAAGAGCCACAGGTAGAGGACTGCGCTCCTTTAGTAGATGCCTTGTGTGGGACACAGAGAGGTTTAGGGTGTAAATCTTACTCCAGAAAGAAAGAGAGGTCAGGGGCCAAGTAGAGAGAAGCCTGGAGGAAGATGGTGCAAAAGAGGAAGGACGAGCGTGCGAAAGACATCTGGAAGCAGGAAAAGGAAGAAAAGGAGGAAGACGAGGTGGAAAGGGAGGGAGACGATGGCGTCTCCTCCTCATTTTTTTACAAAAGTCTGATTAGGCACATTTTTTATCACAATGAAAAGCTCTATGAGCTTATTTTGGATATTGTAGAAAGTAGGTGGGACTCAAAGCTTGAGAGGCCCCTCCACTTGGCAGGTGACCATTTGAACCACGCTTATTGTTATGACAACCCACAAATTGAGACTCAAGGTTATTTTATGGATGCAATCAATACATGCGTGGTCAAACTCATCCCACCTGTACAAGAGCAAGACCAAGTGTCAATAGATCTAGAGAAGTATAGAACGGCAATGGGGACCCTTGGCACAAAACTTGCTCTAAGGCAAAGGAAAACTCTCAAGGCGGGTAAAATTCTTTAGAGTTTAAGGCAATTTTATTCTATTCTTTATTACTTAACTTTTTTGCAAAATGTAATACTGTGACGTAGGCACATGGTGGACCGACCATGGGTCAAGTGATATAAGCACTGGCAACGGATGGCTATATGAATACTATGTTTGACAAGTAGCTCATCTGGATGTGGGCACAATTTTAGTACTTTTGAGATAGTAATTTCTTATTCTTACCTAATTTCTAAGTTTTCGATGATGTAATTTTATTTAGATTTTAAGTTATTTCTGTACTATGATTTATGAAACAGATACACACCAAAAGAGAAACAGACTTCAGCAAAAGAGACTGAATAATCTTGTGTACAGTCAATACAATTAAGAATTGAGGGACTGTTACATGGATCGAGATTCCATGATCCAATTGAAATTAAAGAGTTGGATGATTCATGTGAGTGGTTGATTGAATGAGGATTTAGTAAATGCTGGATAGGACTTGACATGGAGTCAAGTGAGGCAAACTATGGGAACTCAGTCGGACCCCTTGAGGACCACGCGCTCTCAATCTCAAAGGAAGGGACATTAGTCTCAAAGAAAGGGGTCCCAATCTCAAAGGAAAGGGTCCAAGTCCAAGTGGAAGAGACAACTCAAAAGAGTGAGGACGGAGGAAGAGGACCCAGAGCTACAAGACTCAGAAGAGACCAATGAAGAAGAACGATATGTATCAAAGAAAGATGATTCTGATATGATGGCATACCATCATCATCAACCTCATCTGAGTGTTGGACGGAGACACAATGACATTGTTGGACGCGATGATGAACAAATTGACCCTTTCTGCGTTCGTCATCATTTAATTCTTTGTAATGTCATGTTTGTTTAATGGAACTTTGGATTTTGGAACTCTGGAATGTGTTGAGGTTTTTTGGGTAGTGGAATGTGTTGAAGTTGAACTACTAAACTTTGAAGTTTGAAGTAATGCCTGAAAGCTTATGGATGTACATTTAGGTTATGTGACTTTGTATTTTCACTTAAATGCCAAATGGATGTCAAACTTTGGGCAATTTCAAAGTTTTATAGTTTTAAAGATGTAAATTTTAGTTTCTAAGTAATCAGATTCCAAAATCAAAAACCCACACCCCCACTTTTCTCCCCCGACGCTACCCCCCCAGAAAAAAATAAGTGCCTACACAGTGGCCACCGTGTGCCTTTGCCACCGTTTTCTTGGACATTGGGTGCAGATTCTAGAATAAGGGAGACCCAAGCACAGCTTGGGAGGTCAAACTACATACCTAAACACAATGATGAAAACGCTGGCCTCTTGGCCACCTAGGTAGTGGGGTCTTGGTGGACATGCCTAAGGCAGACACCTAGGTGGGTCTGGGCACCCACCCAGTGCAACCCCCTAAAGGACAAAGAAAATCAAATCCATCCAAACATAAATTCAGGCCTGCGTAATGCCCTGACTAGGCGGGTTTGGGCGCCCGCCTAGTGCCACCCCTTAAAGAAAAATAAGAAAATAAATCCATGTAAACAAAAATTCATTCTGTAATGCCTCTCTCTCTCTCTC